TTTTTTTTTTTTTTTTTTTTTTTTTTTTTAAAGTATGCACGCGGGAGAAGTAATCCCAGGGGAGGTGAGTTTTTTTTTTTATCTCAGTGAAAAGATAGCCCCCAGCGAGGGTATAAAAAAAAGACTGTCTCCCTCCTCCAAAAGCGCTTTTTTAATGCATTTTTTTTTTTTTACTTGAACACCGCGCATCGAATAAGTGTGACGAGCTGGCAAGGGCATCTTCCCCCTCCACACGCTCCACTTGGCCACTTTTTGTGTTTTTCTTTTATATATGCCCTTATGCCCATTTTGCATTTCATCCCAACGGCTTTATTCAAACTGCTTCGTCCATCCAATTAAAAAGAGAACAGTCTCACTGGGTGGATTTGGCTCGGACAGGACGGTCAGTCGTAGCCTTATAAAAGGGGGAAAAAAGGAACCCTTTAAAAGAATTACGAGGCAGGCTACATATGATGTGCTTGGCTTGGTGGGGAAAAAAAAAAAAAACTGGTGCGCCACACAAAGCAGATATAAAATAAAAGCTGTATTTTATTTCAAAAAGGAAATTTTTTAAACTTGGTGAACATTTACGTGCGGTGTTAGAGAAAAAAGGAAAAAAAAAAAAAAGGAAAAAAAAAAAAAGGTTCGCTATGCATTCGCTGCATTTGCTATATCTTGCCCACGTTGAAATGAAAAGGTAAAAAAGAAAAAAAAAAATGCGCATGCGCTAAAATGTGTGTATGTAAAGATGGTGGGTGAATTACCCCAACACCTCTGCGTAATTCTCGTTGCCGTGCAAGTGTTGTTACACGCACGTGAAGTGGGTGCGGGGAAATGAGAAAGGGGTTTTCCTCCTCCGCTTCTAACACGCTTCTGATCCGCTCCCGCCCATCAGTAGTTCAATTCCATGTGGGAGTTGTACTGATCAAAATTTTTAGCAAAGTTGGTGTCGGCTTCTGTTTGCATGCTGCTGATGGTGTAGTTGGGGAATGCGTGGAGAGGGGGTAGGTTATTCATGAGGGCGTAGTCCATGCTAGTGTATGAATTATTATGCAAATACATAAGTCTGCCCGCGTTCATGGTGCCGGTAAGGTTGTTCATTTGTGATTTAGGGGACCCAAATCCGTAATGCATAACTTTTCCTCCTACGGAAATGTGCTCTGATGGGTCATGGGGGTGGTGGTTGCCGTTTGCACTTGCGTTGTTATTGTTACCACCTCTGCTAGCGTTGCCACCACTGCCGTTTCCGTTATCCCCTCCTCCCCCTTTCACTTTTTTCCCTTCCATGAAAGACGTCCTGTGGGGGTACTCGTCCTCCATGTTTGGGTAGTCAAATGGGATGCCGTTGGGATCGTTGGCTCCGTGGTGGTGCATACCATGGTGGTGTGAGTGGTAAGGGGAGTAATGGTCCATCGAGTTGTCCATCGAATTCTGCATCGCCTGGTCCATCCTATTGTCGTTGTTGCAATTTTCTACAGCGCCATCCATGCCGTAGCCATTGCCACTGCCGCTGGCGCAAACATCCCCCCCCCCTGCTGCTGCTGCTCCTTCTCCTCCTACTCCCACTCCCCCTTTGGAGGAATTCTTCACATATTGAGCGATATTCTTATTCACATTGTCCATGTAAGAACAGAACAGTAATTGCCTGCACACAGTATTCTTATTTAAAAACTCATAATTAATTTTTAGTGTCTCATCTGCTATGGCTTCCCAGTAATGCCACACCGTTTTAGGAATACGAACTTTTAAATTGACCTTGCCGTTGCTCTTTTGAGGAACGTTACATCGTAGGTAAGCAAACCCTTGGTCATATAAATTCCTTAAATTAATGTCATGCGATTCAGAAGTGTTATATACTTCATGCAATGTGTACTTCTTTGCTTGTATTAATAAATTATCTCCCCAGTCGACTAGGAACTCACACTCCAGCGTGAACAAATCCCTCAACACCATTCCTCCTAACTTATTAAAGGTTATTTTTATGAAGCAGAAATTCTTTGAATAATTTTCATCCGGGAATCCATTATTAGGGTAGATACCAGAAATTTCAAAATAGGGTTCATCCATTTCGTTTTTCACTGTCGGTAGGATTATGTTGTTGTCGTCGAGGATCAAAATGTCTAGCTCAAAGCATTGGTTAGCTCCTCCTTTATTCTTTCTTGGCTTGGTCACCACGTTTTCTTCGTAGTACTTTAGCTCGTCGTTCACAAACTCCGTGGCCTTCCTGATTAGCTCCTGGTTGTACAGCGTCAGGGTGCGATCCAGCATCGCCTGGTCGTTGTTGTTCTCCATGTTAACGGGGCGCGATTCGAAGAAGCTGCGGGGGGGGGCACACATGTACATATGTACACATATATGTGTGTATATGTATATACACACGCATGAACGCACGCGGACATATGCAAACACGTATTGGGAATGGAGGGTCCGCCTGCTTACTCGTTCTGAACTGAGTTGTAGTAGTGCAACTCGGGGATGCCCAATCTCCACATGACTTCCTTCCAGCAGTCTACAAAAGGGGGAAAAAAAAAACAACAAAAAAAAAAATGAACGGGGCGATACAAACGTGCATCACAACTGTCACCGCGCTGCGCTTATACATGCACCGCGATTATGCGTGCGCCGCAACTGCATCACAACTGTAATCGCTCCTCCACTTACTTATATTCCTCTGGTAGTGCTCCGTGGCGAACTTCTGCTTGAGGATGTGGCGGCCGCACGCGCGGCAGAGGGTGCGCTCGCTCTGGCGGTAGTAAAAGTCAATTCGCACGTCCCCGATGAACTGGTCTCCACGCGTGACAGTGCGCACCTTAATGACTTCCGTGCTGGGGAACTCCCACAGTCTCTCGAACAGCTCATCCACAAGCAACACAGTCTTGAACCCAGTCACCCGTTGGTTAATCGGGCGAATGTTCTTATACAGCTCGCTGGGTACATCTTCCATCTTGTACGTTTTCCAATTAGAACCCGTTTTCAACACAGTCAAATCTTTCAGCATATCTTTTATTTCTTTAAAATTTAAACAAGAAAAATTACTTGCCTTTTTATGTGTGGAAAAATTCTTGTACATGTAGTTATTTGGGTTCTCCTTCAAGACTCCTCCATATGTCCTCAATTCATTATTCTTATTAGCATTGCTTCTCCTTCTCCTCTTAACCTTTTCTCCTTCTACCTTTTCAGGGTTTTTATTCTTGTTCCTTCCTTTTACATCCACACCTACGCTGTTGTCCACACCGATCATGCTGTTATCATTTGTGGAAGACGAAGTGTTCAATCCTCCTTCCGCACTTCCCCCAATATTTTCATTCGTACCTTCTACTCCTCCCATGCTGCTCTTTCCTCCATCTGTGTCAACACAGGGGGTAGTGGTGGTGGTCGTCGTCGCCATTCTCATCCCATGCTGCTGCTCATGTGCATTGTTTTCCACAGACATTTCATCCTTCACATCTACCACCATTCCTTCATGATTGTACTCGCCATGTTCACCATTGTTGTTCTCGGCCACAATGTGCATCCCTGCACCTCTTCCAGGTTTTCTCCTACCCATTTCTTCCATGTTATAATTATAATTTGCTTCATTAGCATCCTTCATTTCCCCTTTTATATGAAAATCATTTAAGTTCATATGATCATTGTAGTTCATTTCGTTCATATTGTTCATCACGGTTTCGTTTAAACTTCTTCGCATCATATGCTGGTGATATCCCATGGCTTCCATGTCCTCGAATTTTTCTCCCTCTGCGGCTCCATTGTAGAATTGTTCCATCGGTGCAAGCATGGCGCCCTCTTGCTGTTCTTGGTGAGTCTTCCGTCGCTTTCCACTCATGCATGCGTCCTTGGTAGGGTACGCATCCTCGTTAATAAAATATTTATTACTGTACTTTTGTTCAAAATTACGGTAGCTGAATTTTTTTCCATTGGCTCCCTTCCTTCTTAAGGAGTACCCGCTGGCGGCATTGCCATGTGCTGCTGCTTCCGCGGTGGCGGCGGCTCCTCCTCGACCTCTTGATCGACTTGACTGCATACCAGTACCCCTTGTTCTTTTGTTCGTATGACCAGGTGATGTACCTCCACGACCACCTCCACTGCCTCTCACTCGTTTCTTTTCACCACCATTCGTTGCAGTGCCACTCATCACTGTTCCTGTTGCTCCCGCCTCGCCATCTTCTCCAACATCAACATTTCTTCCTCTATGTCTTCTCACCGATTCTGTACCCAATATTCCACTCGCACTGGCCACGTGCAGCATGTCTCCTCCATCGTCACCACTCTCTTCTCCTTCCTCATAGCACTCCTTGAAGCTGTCACCGATATCTTCCAACTCCCCCTGGATGTACCCTTCATTGTAATGATCATGGATCAGTCGGGTCCCTCCCACTCCACGGAACTGAGCAGACAAAACGACGTCACCGAATTTCTCCCTCAAGTTGAGTAACACTTCCCTAAGGCATTTAATGTACTTGGTCTTTATCACTTTATTTTTGAGGATATTTTCAAAGCATGTGACCAGGGTGCTGTTGTGAATGAAGAAGAGGAATGTGGGGTTTCTTGGGGTGCACTCGAGTATATCCTCGCTGTCCTGGTTGAGCAGCCGCTGCAGGGTGCGCTGGTCTCTGCTCAATTGGTTAGCTTCCTTCGCGGCATTGGCTTCATCCGCTTCATATTTAACTGATGCGTCCGCGTCATTCGCTTCATCAGCTGCATCCGCTTCATATTTAACTGATGCGTTCGCTTCGTCCTCTTTAACCGATTCTTCCTCTTTAACCGATTCTTCCTCTTTAACCGATTCTTCCTCTTTAACCGACTCATCCTCTTTAACCGATTCGTATTCTTTGTCTGATTCATCCGGTTCATCCTCTTTCACCGATTCGTCCTCTCTAACCGATTCATCCGCTTTGGTGACAACCTCATCCTCCTCCTCCTCCGCGCAGGCGTCTCCCTTTTGCTCGCCCGCATCGTTCGTTTCGTTCGTTTCGTTCGTTTCATTGGCGTCATTCGCGTCGTTGGTTTCATTCGCGTCGTCGCCCAGCTGCGCCACTTCCTCCTTCACTTCCACCCCGCCCCGGTGCTTCCACTCATTGGTGCTAAGGATGGAGGTGAGGAAGGTCTGGTAGTTGAAGGTCAGCTGCGGCGCCATGCGCTTGGCCTTCAACTTAAGCCTCTTCCTATTAACAATTTTGAAATACCTCAAGTAGCTAGCCACAGAAATGCTCTCCAACGATTTAAAAAAATAATTGCAGTACAGTTCGTACGTGATATCATCATCACTTAAATACTTACACAAATGCATACTGTCACTGCATATTATTATTTTGTCCTCCTTCACCTTGACCTTTTGTTTCTCCTTTCTGTTGTTACCTCTGTATATGCACTCATCATCTGTTTTGTTTCCTCTCGCAGTGTCATTGAGGAAAGATTCATCTGAGAGGTCATCCACTAAGCTATTGTTATTCATGTAGTGGCCCTTGTTGTTCGTGCTTACATTTGCATTTCCTGTGTATCGCATGGATGAGGAGTTTTTGTACCTATCGCTTACCGTGCTGCTACTACTACCATTAATACGCATTCCTAGTGGGCTGTTGTATAATTTGCTTGTAGTTGTGTTCGCTCCTCTTGCTCTACTTCTTCCTGTTCTTCCCACTGCTCCAAGGGTCCTTTTCTTATCCTCTGTAATTAGTCTGTTCTTGCCACGAGCCCTCTTTGATTTGTTTTTAGCTACTGTGAGGACTCCTTTTCTTCTTTTTCTCCTTTTTTTCACATTTTTGTTCAGGCTGCAATTTTTTTCATCCTCTTCTCCTCCACTCTGTTCGTTTATTAATATAATATCGTTTTCTTCTTCCTCGTGCTCCGTTCCTCTTGCTCTTCCCATGTCACCTCGTCTTACTCCTCCCTTCGCATACGCAAAGGAACTCAGAGCCGTTACTTCTCCTTCTCCACTGGTAACAAAATTACGAACCATTTGGTAGTAGCTTCTTCTTCCCTCACTTATCGCGCCTGTACCAGCAGCAGCAGCAGCAGCGAGTATCCTTAGGGCAACAGACCCACATACACGCTTTCGCATGTTTAGCTGCAACCACAGCTTCCTTGTCCCATAATAATTCTTCCTGAAGAAAATATAATTCCTTCGTACACTGGAGTTAAAGTTGTATCTCTTCTTAACATATGAAAAGGAGACATTGAACAAATGGTAGTTGCATGGCTTGGCCTGATTGTTCGTGGACGGGGACAGGGCGCGACTCGCGGTGTAATTGCGGGCACCGCTCAGGCTGAAGTTCAGGTCGATACTGGAGGCGATGTTAGCGGCCATGTTAGGGGTGATATTAGTGGCCATGTTAGGGGAGATGGTAGGGGCGACGTTGGTGCCGGTGCTTGTCCCCGGGCCGCTTCCACGACGACTGCCCCGGCGGCTAGCCCGTTGGCTGCTCAAACGACTACCGCGCCGAGAGGTTCGGTAAATGTTACGGTTACTACTGCGGCGACTGCTACGGCAATTGTTGCAGTTGCGCAGTGTGTGCTCTTCTCTTCCGATAGCAGCCATTGATGCAATGGCACCATCGCTCCTCCTCTTCCTTCCTCTTTTCGTTCCTTGGGTAATGCCCTTGTTTAACCCGCGATAGTCGCTCAGAGTGAGTGCGTCGTAGTACCCCCTGTGGCCCACCTGCATCCCTACTAGTGCGTCCACCTCGTCCATGCCATTTGCGCCATGCGTGCTGTACATGCGACTCTGGTAATAATCGTTTAGCCCATTAAAGTGACTTCCATTATGCATAGCCCCACCATTATGAAAAGCAGAAACTGCACTGTGGTTGATGGTACCCATGAGGGGGAAGCCGTTGTGTGTAGCCTTGCTGTTGTTAAACCTTTGCCACTTCATGCCGCTATCTTGTTCATCCTCTTCCATCAGGCCCAGTTCCTCCTCCGCCATTTGATTACACTCGCCATTTAAAAAAACACTAGTGTTATTATGTTCGTGGCGCAATGGTCCATAATAATTAGCATCTTTGCTAGTCGCCGTGGTGGAGGTAGTAGTCGTGGTCGACGTTCCATTCTCATGAATAAGGTTATTACCATGTGACATGTTCATAATTTTATCCTTCCCTCCATAGGAGGGCGACATAAAAATTCCTGCACGTGATCGGCCCTCAAAATATTTATTCGGCGAGTCGTGATAAGCCAGCATGCTATTTCTATGAATCCTACTATTGTTGGCATTCTCATCACCAGTCCTTCCATCATTGAATAAGTGTTCACTTCCCCTGGGGCAGATGGCATTATTATTCAACGAGTAAAACTCTTCATCATTCTCATGGGCATTTTTTCCCTGACCATCACTCGCATAGATGTGGCTCTGGAACTCCCCTCCATTACCATACCCATTGCTGAACCCATTAGCATACTTGCTGCAGTAGTTAAGATATTCTAGAACCCCTGGGGGGATGACGTCACTGTCTTTCCCTCCTGTCTTTTCATAATCGATTAGATTCGCTGGGTTGTCGGTACTAATAAATGCAGCATCGTACGGAAGATTAATCCCACTCCCTCTCTTGCCATTATTCATATTTGTAAAATGGGCAAACTGATTATTCATCTGAGTACCATTATGGCGACCCATGTGATCTGCATAAATTCCATTAGTTGATTCTAGGGAGGAGACCTCCTGACTTCCATTATTATTTTTTTCATCTTCTATCCCTTCGTCCACGTTGACCCCCAGTCCACTAGGAGATTTGCTCGAGTGATAATTGTGATTACTCTTGTCTTGTGAGTTTCCAATCCCGCCTGCGTTGCTACCGCTACTGTGTGGGTTTCCTCCATTCTGGTTGTGCATGTAATAATTATGAACGAGGGGCTGGTAGCCGTTGCAACTACTAGCTCCTGTACTGCACTCGACGGAGTCGTTTATTAAGGTGTCCTTAGAGCTGCTAGTGCTGGAGCTGCCGTTCACCTTAACGACGCTCACCTTCGGCATACCACTCACACTGGTCATGGTACTCACGGACCGCTTTTATTTTTTTGCCCACGCTTCCGTAGGGTGTGGCTAGCTAGCTTTTTTTTTTTTTTTTTCTCTCTTGTAAGCAGTAGCGCTCTGATCATTTATACAACGTACTTCGTAGTAGGGTTTTTTGTTATTTGACGGAAATTTTAACTTTTGGTGGACGCTTTCATTGTCTCTCGCCTCTTTCTCGTTAGAGTCGTTTTGTATTGTCTTGTTGGGTGTGCATGCACTTTGTGCTCATATATATTTAATTACATATATGATATATTTTATATATCTCCCATTTTTTTTTTTTTCCTTTTTTTTTTTCGTCGGCACAAATGGTAGTTCGTGCACTCATTTAATTCCTCCTGCGCAATTATTATTACGAGTCCGTGTGTTTATTTACATACACTTTCAACGTATCGCTTCCGGCATGTATTTCGTTTTCTCTATTAGATCAGCGCTCTTGGGGTCTTTCTCACCCTTGGAGCGGCGTACGGACGATACACTTCCTCCGACTCTACTTCTACAACGCACCGGACAAATGGACACACGTAAACGTTCACTCCTTTCTCAGCTTCAACTTAACCGCTCGTTTAGGTTGTCCTTGTGAAAGGACAGGGGGAAAAAAAAATTACAAACAAATGCGAAAAAAAATGCTAACAAAATGCGAAAAAAACACGGCCAAAAGAGTTGTTACCCTTAGGCTTCTCTTCTCTCTCTTTCTACGATGGGGGGCGAGGGGTTCCTTACATGTGAAGATTTGCACGTATAGGAATACAAACAAGTGTTGAAATACAAACAAGTGTAGAAATTACAAACAAGTGTTGAAATACAAACAAGTGTAGAAATTACAAACAAGTGTAGAAATTACAAACAAATGTACAAATTACAAACAAGTGTAGAAATTACAAACAAGTGTTGAAATTACAAAAAAGTGTTGAAATACAAACAAGTAAAGGAACACAAACACGTACAGGTATACAAAGCACGCACACACGACCACACCGATCTTTGTACACGCGCACGATCAAACGCCGTGAAGTTAAAAAGGGGGGTAAAGTGACTCAGTACTTATGCAATCATATGGGGAAAAACACTGACGCTACAAAGGGGTATCAAATGAGATGTGCAAAAAAAAAAAAAAAAAAAAAAAAATCATATATGGAACTAAAAAAGTGCCACGCTCGCATATATGTATATATATGTACGAATATGCTGGTGCGCGAGAGAGTCAAAAAGATACGTAGAGGCAAAGTTTAAAAACACAAGAGCTGCGTTTCACTTATATGAAGTCATCACAATTAAAAATAACTAAAAAGTGGAGAACCAACACACGATGCAGCGTTGCATAGGTCCTCACCGGGCCGCGCATGCGCAAACACGATGGCAACCACATGCACATGCAAGGCATGCATTGCACTTGTAGGTATTTATGAGGATTGTGCACGTAAGTTAGGCGTATAGGAATTCTCCTGATTAAAAATATACGTCTGTTTATGTATGACAAATCGTACTTAAAAAGATTGGCCAAAAAAAAAAAAAAGAAAAAAAAAAGAGAATTATCCTCTTTTCTTTGTGCGCTCTCACGTGGAGTTTTGGCTCTGCCTCCCTCAATCCTGCGCGGGGCACGAAAAAAGGGAAGGGAGCGTGAGGCACTCACAAAGTGAAGAAGGGAAGTTCATCCAATGTAAGTACGATCTATTACTATACCGAGCGCGACCAAGGTTTACAAAGTGGGGGTAATCAATATGTCAGTGGAAACACAGGGATGCGCGCGTAACAGATGAACAGAACTGAATGAACACAAGCAAATCAACGCAGACAAGTCAACACAAAACAGAATGAAAAACAATAAAATCAGAGTAAAAAATCGTATGAACAAAATATGCAAAAAAAAAAAAAAAAAAAAAAAAAAAAAAAAAA